TTCCCTTCCTAACTGCTGGCACCCCAAAAAACTCCAGGCCTCCTCCTGCTCCCCAGAGCTAGGGGCAGGCTCCATACGCAAACCCCCCATCTTGGCTTTGAGGAGAGGAGGCTGGCACTGAGGTCCTGCCTGGAGCTACCAGGCTGCACCCCCCCATCGCTACATTGCACCCCTGTGGCACTTCCCTGGAGGAGTGGGGGTCCCCAAGCAGCTGGTGATGAGCAAACCCACTGTAGACCCCCTTGGGCACAGTGCTGACTGGCTGGGGGGCCCCATCTTGGCTTTGAGGAGAGGAGGCTGGCACTGAGGTCCTGCCTGGAGCTACCAGGCTGCACCCCCCCATCGCTACATTGCACCCCTGTGGCACTTCCCTGGAGGAGTGGGGGTCCCCAAGCAGCTGGTGATGAGCAAACCCACTGTAGACCCCCTTGGGCACAGTTCTGACTGGCTGGTGTGTCTGTCTGTCCCAGGCTGCCTGTTTGACCGGAGGCTGTGCTCCCCCCAGGAGGTGTGCGTGCAGGGTAGGTGGCTAGCAGGGGTGCAGGGATCCCTTCTTCCTTCCCAAGGGGGTGGAAAGGGTGCAGGGCTGCCTTACACATGAATTGGGGTCCAACTTGGGGGGGCCATGGCAGGCAAAAGGTGGGACTGTGTCCAGAGATCCCCACCTCAGGGTGTTCATGCATCCAGCTCCACTGCCTCCCTTCTCTTGCAGATGGGCTGTTTGGGCAGTGCCAGGTGGGCTCTGTGCAGGACAGACCCTATTTCCAGGTCACCTCTCCCGTGCTCCAGCGCCTGCAGGATGTCTTGCGGCATCTCATGGCAAAAGGTGAAGGGGGAATACGGTGGGAGGGGGTGTCAAGCAGCATTGCTGGGTGGCACTAGCGCTGCCTGGGGTCCTGCTGCCCCAGCGGCCAGGCTGGGCTAAACTGCAGTTCAGCTGATTCTAGCAGGAGCGGTGCCAAGCCTGGCCCATGGGACACAGGGTCAGGACACCAGGGTTGCCTCCCATGCACTCACGCCATGGTCCCTAGGCCTCCTCTCTGTCTCACAGTCCTGTCCCTTGGCAGGGCTC